AAAAAAAAAAAAAACTAAAGTAGTTATAACTAGCTAGGATTGATTAAAGGAGGCAATCATTGACTTTTGTAAGTTAAGGTGACTATTACATTTCTTTTTTTTGGGGGGAAAAACATGCAATAGTAGATCGATTAATGTGAAAGGAGCATGGATGGTGTCTTTGACTTTGGATTTTACCAATGGAGATAAACAATCAATCCATTCGGGCGTCATGTATCAAACCCCGCCACTAACTGAATCAACCAATTAAGTTTGCACTTGGTGTCTAAACGCACAGACTTCTTGATCCTAGGATTCCATAATTATAAGAGCAAACAAGATCAAGTTGCATTTTCTATCTTTTAGCTTCTTTTTTTTTCCCTGGTCGAGAATAAAAGTTTAATGCAAGTTGTCCTCTTTTATAAGTATATTTTGAAGTCTTGTTAATCCCTTTTTTAGTGAATAGAGATAAAGAACTTAATTCTAAACTTTTAACTAAAAGTATAGATAATTTTATTATCAAATCAAGTGATTAATGATTGAAGTCTTGTTGATAGAGAAGGGCAACGTCTCCTATAGATGCTTGTACTCCACCATCATCTTTTGGTCTAGCAATTAGTTAAATTTGAGGTTCTAAAATAACGTTTCAATGCATTAGGTCTCCTAGATTAATTATTAGATGCACTCAATATCTTAATAATGATCAAAGTTTGAGATATAATAATGTTATGTTAGTCTTAATCTCTTTACCTACAAATTGTCTTTGTTCAATTTTTTTTTTTTAAAAAAAAAACCCTCTTAATGGTACTTGTACAAGGAATTAAGGAAAAGAAAAGATTAAACCATTCATACAAGTATGATAAAAATAAAATTTAATAGTAATTTTTTTAATAAAAATAAATTTTTTTGATTTTAAATTACATTGCATACAAAATATAATAAGTTAAGAGATGACAAAAGAGTTTTTCAAATAGATACTAATTATTTTTTGTCTTTTATTAATACATATAAACGGGTATTCTATTATAATGATCAAGGTTCGATTCCTAGCTACAAGTCTCCCTTTCCAATTACTTGAATAACGATAAAAATCTTTACCACTTTTTTTTTTTATCAAGATTAATTTATGGGGAAAGAGGATTGAACCCAACCCATAAACTGAGTGATACACACCATTACCACTTGACAAAAGAATGATGACCCAATAACCATCACTTTATGTCGTGACTTTTGAACAGTCACTTTTCCACGCACTTTTTCAACTACCGTATTCATCAAGAGTTCATTTTACCTCTCTCAAAATGGAATCATAGGTTTTGCCCTATAGTAATGATAAAATTATGCAAAGTGATTGTTGATAATTTGAAGTTGAAAGTTATGGCTCCTATAACTTTTAGGTCTTTCATTTTGTCCTGTTACTTTGACATTAGGATTACATAATTACATTGCATCCATTACAAATTATTGCTATTTTTTTAAAAGAAAAGAATAATTGATCATTTTGATTCGTAATTAATTCTTTTTGTGTGAACTTACAATTTTTTTTTTTTCACTTCCTAGTGAAAATGAGAAATAATTAGGGGAAAGAAAAAGTTGCAACTACAAGTAACAATCAGAGGAGGGAAAAGGCAACTACAAGAACAACACAGGATACTTTTTCCAACAGCTAACCACTCCACTCCTTGTTTGATGGCTACCCAATTCCAACCACAGACTCCCAAAAGACAGCAACTTGGAAAAAAGAAAAACGTGACTTAATAGGTACGTAATCCACAAGAAAAAAAATATCCACAATGACTGAATTTTAATGGTTGATATTTCTCCTTGAGATGGTTCGGGGGCAAAATATAGTCTCAAAATAGGTACAAGCTTAATTGAAGGCACCTTGATAATCTTAACAGGAAAAGAGGTCCATATTTCAGAAACGAGTGCTAAAACATGAACATTCCACCTCCTTAACATATTAATCTTACTTTCTGGTGAAATATGATCCATAAACACCCCTAAAACCTGCCTTTATTCTGTTCCACTGTGGACATAAGTGGGCATTGGCCCAACTTAGAATTTATGCTAATAAGCATCCATGAATACTATTCTCAAAAAGAAAGAATCCATTAATACAAGATTCACCTGTTGCACATAAGTGGGAATTGGCCCAACTTAGAATTTATTCTAATAAGCATCTATTAATACTAAGCATCCATTAATACTGTTCTCAAAAAGAAAGAATCCATTAACACAAGTTACACCTGTTGCATGCAAAAGACCTGGATACAAATACAATAATTATTAGAAAAAGCTTTAATTACATTTTAATTCTCATAAAACAAAATGTCATCTGATGTTACACTAAGAACAATTCTGTTCTAGTGGGTCTATGATAGGACAAATATAATTTTTAAAAATAAATAAATGTATGTTTTAAAAATAAATAAATGTATGTATTACTAACCTGACCTTGTAAGTCGCTTGGTAATGGTGTGTATTACCTAACCTTATAGGCTGGGTTCAATTCCCTACCCCCAAAAATTGCCATTGATCAAAAAAATAAAATAAAATAAAATAAATGTATGTATTAAAAAACATAAATTTATAACTGATTAAAAGAAACAACTGGTTTGATGGTCCTGTTGGAAGGAAAGCAATTGGCAAAGAATACCTAGATCTAATTAAGGCAGTTTGGACTAATTCTACACCATCATAGGCACCATCGGTATAAGCCTTTGCATCAATACGTCCACATCAGTACAGCAGACAAAAGAATGCGTTAGTCTAGAGCAAACCTGGTTTTCATTTCTTGTGAAACAGAAACTATTATATTGTCAGATGCTTGGACAATGGATAACTGGCTGGACCATGTCCCATATAAGATTCAACCTGAGCCTGAATCTTTAACAAAAACATTCTATGCACACATCTTGTTTGGTTGAGAAGATGTATGCCAAACCCAAGAATGACTTTAGTAGGAAAATGATGACCCGGGAATATTGCCATTTCATAAGTCCTATCACTTCTCTACCTCTGTCTCAATGACTTCCTTCTCATTGCTTTTGCTTTCTGTTTGGTTTCGCATTTCAAGCAGTTTCTGTTGTTCTTCCTCACTCTCCTGTGCTTTAGCATCTTTCCCAGCTTTTGGCTTATTGCTTGTAGACTGCTGATACATAACCCCACCGAACATACAAATCAAAAGACCCATTGTCCCCACGAAAGTGGAATGCTTGTCCCAAATAACCAAATTAATCACAACTGTTAACAGCTTGTTCACTATTCCAAGAACAGTGAACCCTGTTGCAGAGATTGCTCTCCGGCAAGAGAACCCAAAGAAAGAGATGGCCAGGCCAAACAAACATGACAGCCCCACTGGCAAGACTACTTGAAAAGAGTACCAGTCAGACTCATACAAGATTTCATGCTTTATCTTCTTCAGTTCCCCCATTATAAGTAGCTCAAGAGGAAACAACAGGAGTGCCTCAAGATTATTATAAAGTACAAGACCCCATGTATTCAGACTGATAGTCATGACAACATGCTTAATGTAAACAAAATCTATAGACATGCTTACCAGGTACGCTAGTGCCCAAAAATAAGCTGTGAGTGTGAACTGGTAATCTGTGAGAACATAAATCACACTTCCCCCAAAGATAGTGCCCAATGAGATCCATGTCTTCATTGCTGGCCATGGTTGGTGCAAGAAGAGGGTCTCTCCTATTGCAACAAAAATAGGAACAGCTGAACGGAAGACAATGAAAGTGTCGACATTAGCATGGAGGAGGAGCTCACTGTTGGTGAAGAGAGAGAGGTAAAATATTATGGCTGCAGGTAGAAACCGCCACATGGTCAAAAGGTCAAGTGGATCATGCTCTATGAATTTCAACTGTCCACAGAGGAGTACACCAGCCACACTAGTTAGGTACTGTAAAGCAGTTAATGCCCCTGGATATGGAAATCTCATAACAGCCCATTTGTTGATGATGGATAGCAGAGAAGCAGAGAGGCAGTATCCTGTGGCTAGTCCATACACCGAGGCTTGCTGAACTAAAACATTGTACCATGTTACCTGGAAGCCACCAGAGCAAGAAGATGCTTCTGGGTCATTTTGGGTAGCCAATACTTCAGGGTTCTCCACATCCTTAGACATCTAAAATGAAAAGGAAAGATTTCATTTTGGGTGTAGCTACCAACAAACTCATGTTTCATATGCCCATAAAGTATTTTATGTACACTGACACCAACTAATTCCATAACCAACTGAATCTAAATGCAAGAGCAACAAGAGTATTTTATTTTATGGAACAATAAGAAAAACTTGACTACAATATCTGGAAAGTGCATGTTAAGTAATTATAGAGGCCAACAAACTTCCAGTTAATGTCAATCTGTTCTTGTAAATACCAGGTTTGCTTGCACAAACACAGATGTATCTTAAATAACTAAATCAAACATCCTTCAATTCATTGCCAAAGAGCTATACCAATTGGATTCTTCACTTTACCATAATGAATCCATGCCCAACACTTGCTTCACAGATTGGATCCTTTACATCAATGAAAAAAAACACCAGAAAATTGGAATTTCCCATGTAAAAAAACAGAAAATGTCACACTGATTCCAAGTCCAAGTAACTAAAAACGAAAAGAATAAGATTGAAAATGCTAACCGACAGTTCACATGTAACCAAAACCATGAAACACAAGTCCCAAGCATTTATCCTTTCACATTCCTACTGATACTAAAGTTCCACCACAATCATGTATGGACTTTTCCCCTCCTATAAGAACGGATTTTGGGGGGAAAAAACAAAAACCCAGATGAAAATGAAACCCCAAAACAACAGTTCAAGGGAAATTAACACACGAGCAGGAGCATTGCTAAGATGCAAGCGCCATTACCAGGTCAAGAACAATTAAAGAGGAAATGATTTACCTATTGAGATTCCCAATCTTCAATTGGGGTTCTCTGGATCTTTGAAATGGTTTCTTTGACTGGGAGCCAACCGTGGTGCGGCGGTCGTGGCGGCGAAATTTTGAGGATCTTTTATCGTTGCATAGGAAGAGAGAGGGAAATAGAAAAAGAAAACAAAAACGAACATAGAGGGATAAATCAATTGGTATTTAATAATTTGGTCCATCATTTTGTTTTCTTTTATATTGATAGGTCTATTATTTTTTACACTTTCAGCTTACTCCATTATGCCATTTTTAAAAATTCGACATCTG